GTGGCGGCCGCGGGGCCCGGCGCCGCGCGGGTCGCAGCCCGCCACTCCTTCCGCGTTCCAAGCCCTCGGCGCCTCCTCCCCCAGCCCCAGAGAAACGCTGTACCTTCCACCGCCTCCTCCACCATCTCGTCGTCGCTATCCATGGCGCCTGGGGACCGTGCCCAGCTCGGGGCCGCGCGGCTGCCTCCCGTCCGTCCGGGTGCTCCCGGTGGCTGAGCGAGCGCTGGGGCTGAACCCTGCGAGTTTGGAGGAGGAGGAGGAAGAGGAGGGGCAGTCGGGGCTGGTTCGCACTGCCTCCCCCTACAGCCCTTTCAATTCCTTGGTCTTAAGCTGCTGCGGCAGCAGCCGTCCCCCCGCTCCTCCCTTCGCCCGCTGGCCCCTCGTCTCCGATGCTCCGGGGTGCCGCCGTGGCCGCCGCCGCCGCTGCAACTTTCTCCTGTAATACCCTCTCTTTGTTATCGAGCAGATGATCCGCTGACATCACCCAGCGCCGGTGCGCTCCCTCCCTCGCTGATTGACAGTTCCCTGTCCCTTCCCAGAAGTAAGGCTCCTTAAAACGAAAGGCGCTCCCGGTCCGCGCTGACTCTGCGCCCCAGCCAGCCAGCCCCCGGGCCCATCAGGGTTTATCTTTTGCTTCTGCTCGGCTCGGTGCGCTCCGAGCGCGCCACGCCGTCCTGTGCACCCGGCTTCTCGTGGGGACTTGGGACCTCCGGGGTACCGCCCTCAGGGGGCTCAAAACTCCCGACCTCCTGCTGTGCCGGGGCAACTTGGAAGTCCGCCGTGCAGAGCCCTCCAGCCCCGCCTTGGGACAGCCTCCCAAGAGCAAGGGAAGCCAAGGCAGCGTTTCTGACGCTCCAGCACCTCAACTTCCTCTCGCCCTCGCCCCCACTTCACCCCGTTTGCCACCCGGAGCTGCACGAGTGCAGCACGCAGGGGAGCGCAGGTGTCCCTGCGTCGCCGCATCACATCCGCGAGCAGGTTTCCCGGACTCAAGGGGGTAACATCCAGCCCTGATTCCGCCGGACTGGGGCCCCCACCCCAGCGCGCCGAGTCCCCACCCTCCTCCGGACTGTCAGGCGGCTCGGGTGATTCAGAAATTCAGCAAATCCAAATGGCAGCGGGCTCGTTATCAGGCAGGAAACAAGCCGCACGGAAGGCCCGGCAGGTTCCTCCTCGTGGTTGCGGTAATGGAAAAGGAGCCACCGAGCGGAGCTAACGAGGAAGGAACCTCCGTCTGGCGCGCCTCCTTCTCGCGCCTTCCGCCCTGTACGTGTGATGCCCCAGTGCCTCCAAGTGCCAACCGCTCCATAGATTCGGGCTCTTCAAGTGGAGAAAATCACGGGGCACCCAGTTCCCGGCCCAGCCACTTAGAGTCATTATGGCATTGCCTCTTACAGGTGGCGGTAAAGGGCGGCTGTAAATAGCTGGTTAAATGGATGCAAATGTACACAATGTACCGTGGAATTACAGGGTGCTGCTCTGGGCATCTGCCAAGAACAGCTACTGCACGGGAGGAGGGGACAGGAGCGAGCGAAGAAAAGTTGTTCCATTTTGTTTTCTGAACAACGAGTGAGACTTAGGGGATTTCAGAGTACTTCCAGCACCCGGGCGACCACGCCTTGTTTTTGGCTTTGTGCTTAAGTGCAAAATATTTTTATCGAGTATTGTGAGTTTCTTCTTAAATTCAGTTTTCCCTTTGTGAAAAAAAGAAGTGTTAGGGACACTCGTTCCATACATTACCAGGAATTTCAATTCCTTTTGACTGTTTTAGAAACAGAGGGAAGGGCCCTGGACCAGGAGTTAGGACACTAGGGTTCTGGTGCTGCTGACCTGCAGAGGGGCCCTGGGAGCCCCCCCTCCCTTGCCAGCCTGAATTCCTCCTGCGGGAGATAAGAGACTTAGGCTAGACGACTCTGAGATCCCCAGCTTAGGCTAAAGCACTCAGAGGTCCCTTGGCTTAGGGTAGACCACTCAGAGATCTCCGGGCTTAGGCTAGACCACTTTGAGTTCCTCTTGCTGAGGCTATACTGACTGGTATAAGGTCCCTCCAGCTTAGTCTAGGCCACTCAGCGGTCTGCCATCCTAGGCTTGACCACTCTGAGGTCCCACCCCAGCTGAAGCTAGATTACTCTGAGGTCTCCTGGCTTAGACTACACCTCTCTGAAGTCTTCTGGCTTAAGTTTAACCTCCTGAAAGTCCTCCAGTGCAGATACCTGGGCTTTAAAGCTACACAGAGGTGTTGCTGCAGTGGAAGATGAAAGAGCCACTCCGGGTTACATCATTTTCAAACATGAACCGTAGTAAGAGGAGTTTATTTCTGATTTTTTTAAAAAGCTATCAGGTACTGAACTTGGTCACTCACTGGTTTTGAGTTATATGATATTTGTTCTTATTTCCCCCTTTGCAAAAAAACCATAACATTTCCTCCCTTATGTATTATATGGATGCACAAAAACACACCAGATACTCATCTTCTCCAGTTTCCAGTTTACCAGGGGGCAAAAAAAAGATGCTGAAAGCTATAGGAAGCAAAAATAATTTGTTCCTTTACTCAAAGGGAGCTAAAGCAGGGGACAGGTGGGTTGGAGGAAATCGCCTCTCACAACACACAGGTGGAACCACGGGTAATAAGTTTATGGTGAGCGAGTATGTGGGGGTGTGGGGAGGAATCATGTCCCAAGTGTCCTGCCCCTAACTTTAGGTTCAGAGGAGGATGTCCAACTCTCCCCTGGTGCTGTGAGGTCCCACCTCCCCCCGCCCCCCCCACTGTCAAGTGCTCACTTTCCACCTGCTACTTTGAAAGCACCTGGAACCCTGCCCATGGCCCCTGTCACTGAAGCAGGCCTTCTCTGGACTGTAAGCGTGGGGGTGGGGAGCACCAGGGCCTCCCTGTCAGAACGGGCTGTAGGGAGTGAAAGTTCCCTGAGAACCTTCCTCAGATTTGCACACAAGGCAGGCAGCAGTGGTGGGGACACAGCCGCAGGCCCCCTCCCTCTGCCATTCATCCTTGCTGGCTCTGGGCCCAAAGTTTAGGCAAAATTGTTTTTATGGTTCCCTTAAGATATATTTACATTTTTACAAATCATTCCGTGTACGTTTTCGATCGTCTTCTCTAGACTGATTCTTATTTGTAGCTCCAGAACCCAACACGGTGCCTGGTACAGAGTGAAGGTTAAGCCTTGTCCGTGCTGATTTTGCAGACAGGAATATTTTGTTTTATATAAACAGTGCTGAGTCTCCCAGACTGGATCCTCTTCCTGTGTTTTGGCAAAGTGCTTTGTTTTAGCTCAAGTCTGAAGAGCGATTTTGAGTTGTTCTACTTTCCCACATCTACTGGCCCCAAATCTGCATCCATTGCATTCTTTCCCACAGTTGCCTTCATTGAGAGCTCATGTCATAAACCCTCTTTGCACTTGGCTCCCCGCCATTCTCCTCTGTCGTACTCTGTCCCCACCAATGTGGTCACGGGCTAGAAAATCAATCAAGCTCTTAATCAGCATGTGCAGCGGTGGCAGCGCGGCCCGGCTCCTAACTCAGCAGATCCAAGAGCACAGTTGCAGCGAGCCCCACCAGGAGGAGGGGGCTGCACAGGACCTCGGACAGCCAGGGCGGGGGGGCGATGGCCTCCATGCTCACACCAAGACGTGACTTTTCTGAGCTGCTCGGTCTTGCTTCCTTGCATCCCAGGATATACGCTTCTCTTCACACTCAGCTTGGGAAACGTAAGTCCCTCTGCGCAGCACTGCAGTGAGCAGGAACAATACTGAGTTACCTTCTTCATTTTACTGCCCCTGTCTTTCCCCCAGAGAAGGATGATACTTACTTACAGGACTCCTGGAACTCTTGCGATCAATATACTTTTAGAGGCATCTTGTATTTTATGCACCTTCCTACATTTAGGGGCGACAATTCTGTCAATTCATCTCTATGCACTAAATGAATTGTGAAAAACCTACTGGTTGGGGAGCTCATGCAGGATTCACTGGTGCTGGCTAGTGACCCCGAGCTAGGGACTCTGGGATGACTGATCCCTCATCCTGCCCTGCTGGTAGGTCTGGAGGGGCTCCTGGCGGTCTTCTGAGCCTCCATGATCCTGGAAGGCAGGAACGCCTCAGGTGTCCTGGAGGAACTGTGGCTGATATCCTGGCTCTGCTTTATTTGCTTATACGGCCAACAGGGAGACAAGAGCAGAATGGGTGAAGGAACTCTTAAATAACCATCAAGTCTTAATTTGGCGCTGCTCACCCCTTAACAAGATTTTTTCCCACCAAGTTCGCCAATTTGATTGAATTTTCACCCCATTTGTTTTATATCCTTCAAGAACTAGCCATGCAACTGGGCAATTATGCTCTCTGGACCTTAGTTTTTCCATCTGTAAGTGGGCTCTAAAAATTCTTTTCCTGGGAAAAGTTAAATAGAGCATGAAGAGCCCCAGGGACATGCATAGAAAAGGGAGAGGGGAAGCAGCCAGGGCACCTCTCACAGACTGAATATTCAAGACCCAAGTCATCTCAACTTAACAGCACCGAGATCTGGGGGTGAGAGAGAGACCTCTATCTTAGTCTAGGAAAAGAGACCTGGGCCTTTCAGGAGAATCAAGGTGCTTGGATCCTGAATTACTGAGTCACTAATCAAGTGGCTGTGTTAGTGACAACTGCAGAAGCTCTGGAGGGAGGGGCAGGGAGAGGAGCAGCAAGGAGAAGGGTGTGGGGGAGGAGATGTGCATGAAAGGGAAACATTTACAGCATGTGGTGCACAGCAAAGAGCAACCAGGAGCATCAAGGGCACCAAATAAAGGTCCGGGGAGCAAAGGAAGAGATGGCGAAAAATTCATCCTGCTGGAAATAGACATGACTGCAGTCATGAAGAGGACTCCCGAATTCCGGGTGACCTGATTTGATTACGGCAACAGGAAGTGCAGGAGAGGGCAGAATAACCTGACCTGAGGAAGTGAATTGAATAATAGAGAAGACATCATAGTTGCTATGGTATTAAAATACCTCGCATCACATTAAGCTTCTTTTTTTTCTCTTTTGCTTGATTCTTGTTCTTGCAACATGTTAATGTCATTGCAGTATATCCAGTAAACTAAATTTAGATCTTTTGAGACATGGGGGAAGGGAAGAGGCAGCCCAGATCTCCCTATTTGGGTGCACTCTGGGCAAATATTCTTCCTCCCCAGTGTGCCTGGTTCTTTTGGTCCTTTCGTGGTGGGATATGAAAATCCTTGTCGGGCTTGGGTCTAGTGAAGCTGCCGAGTGACGTAATTTGAAAAAAAAAAAGAAAGAAAGAAAAGTGGGAAACAATTTTCAAAGAGGCACCTGCTTTAGAAATTACTTCAGAAAAATCAGTAGGATGCCGAAATTTGAAAAACACAACTACCATCAAAACCAAATGTATTTTCCTAGGTATTATTTGATTTTATTGCTTTAAAAATTATTTTACTTGGCTATAATTAAGACTTTTAGGTCCTGCCATCATTCATATGCAAATGCTACCATGGCCAGGGGTGGGTATGTTGTGTACTCTATTGACAGTACCGTATACTGAGTGAATAAAAGGGTATTTCCAGCTGACTTATTTACCACAAATGACACCACATTCATCGAGGCCCTGATCTTGTCCTTCCTTAAGTGGATTCACATTAATCAGACCTCAGAGACTGATGTATATACCCAAATGATGACCAACAGACCAGAAAATTCACGTTGTCATGGCAAGCACAGTATTCCTTTGTAGATAAATATACTTGAGAAGACAAATTTCATCCAAATGTTTGCTTAGTTAGCCTAAAGTTAGAATAAATGAGATTAGTTGTGTGGTCCCCAAGAGAAATACTCCTGAAATTATGAGGCTGCCCACCCGCCCCACTCATCCCTGCTTAGATGGCCCTGCCAGCCTCTGAGACTTTGGGCTTCTTTTCTGCATGCTTTAGCCTCTTCAAACCGGTTTCTGCACACAGCATCCTATACAGCCAACTAGGCAGATTTACACTTTT